TGAGCATTTAGATGACACATCCCTTCAGTAAAAATTCTATCTCACCCAGTTTCAAATAAACCTTCAAGTATTTGTGTTCTTAAACACTGTACCTTAGAGTATTGCTACTAATCCTTTTTACTAACAAACTTGTTCAAACAGTTATTTTTGAAACACTTCCCTCTCTAACACAAATAGGTCAACCAGATTCAAATCTAAAGGAATTAAAAACACTGCTCCGTAAATCAGGGGTTCTTTGGAAAAGCCTCTATTTTACGTGAGTCCCTACAACTTTTCTTTTCCAGTTTGAATATAAACTGAAGAGCTGTTACAGAGTAAGACAACTTTTTAAGCCTTAAGCCTGAAGAGCTACTACAGAGTAAAATCACTCCCCCACTGGGCATGCCCAGAATCCAGGGGGAAATCTGCTTTGAAGTTGTTCTGATGGCCCTGGACCAGATGCTCTAAGGTGGCCAGAAACCTCTGTCTACACCCACTTAGCAGATTTCTGGCTCTTTATCAGGGACTAAGGTTTATTTGCAGAAATGAATCATTTCCTTCAAAATATCTTTTACCCTATTTACATGCTTGCATATTCCTTCCATTTTCTTTTCCCCCTACAGCTTTACTAAGGGAATTAATTATCCAGAAGAACAGGAACGTGCAGTAAGGACATCTGAGATGCAGGATGAGACACAGTGTGTCATCTATTAGGCCTGCCTAAGACCAGCAGCTGATGCTAAACGGGAAAGAACATGCACCAAATGTCTTTTAATCACAAAGTTAGTAATGAATTGCTCTTTAAAATACATTTTATGCTTCTTTCTGTCTGTGTACATGAAATGCACATTTATTACATGCCCAAAATTACAACATTATGGTTTCAATGTGACTGGCACGGAAGTCCGGAAATCAGTTAATGTTCCCACAGCAACTTTAATTCTGTCCGTGCGCACATGTAGAGCTCTAATCGTCTTCCGTTCCAGGATAATACATATAGATGGTTTGGGAAGGGAAGCTAAAGACCCATATCCTCAACTGTAGTTACAGGAAAAAAAACAAAGGATAAAAGCTGTGCTCCTTTCCACGTACGTGGATGAAAAACAATGTCCCCACGCCTGGTGTTGTGTAATCTGGGAATGAAAGAATCTGCTATAATGCTGGGACTCAAGGGGACAGTTTCTTTTGCTGTGGGAACCTGAACTTTGCATTTCCTGACTTTGGGGTAATTAAAATGTCAGCCTTAATGTGGCATTAATGGAGTTTGCCATAAAAAATCCTCTTTGTTTTGTTCTCTAAAAAAATTGCTTAAAAGTTCACACTGAACCAAGTGTACCGATATCTTCAGGCTTGGGGACTGAGGCAAAGGGGTGGGAGGGGGAAGGTCAATGAAGGTGGACGGCAAGAGAGAGCCAAGGAAGGACCTACCCGACTCCTCGACAGCGTTCAGCCCGGCAGGGTCATGCTACCTACCGAGCTAAAGTTAAACCCACCCTCACAACAGTTTGGTAATGTGTAAAGGTTAAATGAAAAATAAATAAAAACTGCTAATGTGTAAGCGCATCTTGGCAAGGACACAAAAAATGAGACGATCTGATGAGGCCAGGGCAAAACCCGAGAAGGTAAGTAACCACGGATGTCAGCTTCCAACAAAACAAAGACATTGGACTTAGGCGGTTCTACAGCCCAAAGCAGGGAGACTGCCAACGGGGGTGGGATGGGGGTGGAGGATCGCTTCTCCCTTCAGTGGGAGCCTTATTTGGGGGAAAACAAAATGGGAGCATCTTTCACATGTACATGACTGTGATGTGCTACGGCTTGATAGTTGTCAAGAAAGCTTTTCCCGTGGAGAGCTTCGTCTGCTCTCCTGACTTGGTTTAGTCCTGTTAAGTGTTTAGAGGGAGAGCCTGGCTCGGCTCACCCTCAGCCTGTGCAGTGGGAACTGTTCTGTCAGACGCCTAGGGGTTTGGTACCCTTTGCACTCCGAAACTCATCGTAATGCCTTCCACTCCCACCATCTGCGTTTGTTTACCGTGAGATTGTTAGAAATGGTGACGAGGTGACAAGCTAAGGGGTGATGGGGGAATATCGCTAAAAGGTGATTGTAGTGGGTGCACCGAAAAGCAGCACACATTTCAGGAGCGGTATTAACCTCATCATTTCACCGAGGAAAGCGTTTCTCAGCCATATTCCCTCTTGCTTTGACTTTTACTGGGATCTTCTGCTGAATTTGAAGTGGCTCGTAGGTTAAATAGCCAACTGAGAATTTAAGGGGTTGGACTTGTTCTCTTTGCTCCAAAACACGGCCTGTGTGCTTCAGATGCAACAACGCCATGGCTTGCCCACCCTGATCAGTTCGTATGCAGAGCTGACTTTTCTTCCGTGGGGATGCTTACCCATTGTGTTCTATAACCTCGTCACCAATATGAGTAGTTGAACATTTTCAAGATGCCTGTTTCGAGCCAGGAATGCCATCTCCGGGCTCAGAACTGAGAACGCAGGCTGCTCACAGTGAGGGCAAATCCACAGACATCCCCCTCTCTCCCTCCCCGTGTCTGAACGAGGTAACTACTAAGCATGGCATTCATCTATCTGGGTGTCAATTTTCTCAGTTTTCTCATCTGTAAACTGGGAAGAATTATAATGACTGATGGGGAATGGACAATAAGGCATGACTAAGAATAATTTTGCACAACACATGATAAATAAAAAGGTGCTGTAAAAATTCAGGCACTTGTGAAAGCTTGGAACACCACATACTGGTGGAATGTTTCTGAAGTTAAAGATACTAACAAGTCAAGGGCACTATTTTTAAATGCCCCAAATCTGTTAGTTCTAAATAGAAACTGAATATTTTACCTTAAAGAAATTAGGCTTTTAAATTAATCTACGGTAAGAGTGACATTTGAAAGTAAAAAAAAAAAAAAAAAAAAAAAAAAATCCTCTTGAATGCAAGAAGAGCATCCAAAAATCTTAACAGCTTAAAATAAACCTCTTTCCTGTCTTCTCTCAAGCAAACTCCAAATGGACAGATTTCTGTGAATCTTTCCTCAAAACAATTTTCTTCTAAGTGTAGGCTCAAATCAGGACAAACTACAATCCAAATATATTTGGAGAAAAGTATAATCAATTTAAACAACAGGTTGGCGCAGAGAAGACTTATACATCTTAATGGCAAAATCAGAAGGACTTTCTGAACAGCTGGAGATTAGGCTTCTCCTCCCTATTTGTTCTCCTTCCAACTGTATTCAGACCTTACTGAGCTTGGATCCACTGGCTTCCTCAGGGTCACCAAGGGGCTGTGCCTTGTACATATTCCAAGCTAACGCCAAGGCCTAGTCAGGTGATGCTTATGGTAAAGTATAATACACAGAGCCCAGTGCTCTTTCTGTTCAGCAAAACATTCATTTTATTGTAATGGGATTTCTGGGCTAAGGCCATTCTATGTAATCTTCCCCATAAGCTGTGGCAGAAAGCCAGGCATTGGAGGTCTGCACGCAGGAGCTCCAGGTCCTTCTCCACAGGAGCAGGCTACCTTCCTGGTAGGTAGGGACAGTACGCACATGTCTATGGGCACCGTGCCACGCTATTTTCCAGTTCTTCCTGTAATTACTGTTAGGCCGGAGACTGCCAGGCAAGAAGGCCAAGGATGTTACCATTTTGATGGTCCACTGAACACAGTCCCTGCTTCTGACCCCCAAGTTTCTGTATAGAAGCAGCAGCTCTGTACAACTTACATGGGCTGCAGAGACTTGGAGCCTGTTATTTCTCATTTCGTTTTCTAGTGACAGCTGGAGTGTGGTCTCAGCTCAGTCACGAGCAGAAAAAGGCTCCTTCACCCAAACCCCAACCCCTTGGTCATGTCCCTTTATCCAGGGGCTATTATGATGAAGAAAGTAGGGAATGGAATGTCCCAGGCTCATTCACCTCTCACCCTTTTGGAGGAGTTACGTTTGCTTTGTCAGAAAAATAACAACAGGAGATTTAGAATCTCATTTCCTAATTAATAATTTTTGCTTTGTGGACAGGATAAATGGAGTCCTTTTTTGAAAATAAAACTTTCTCGGTCTTATCTTAATCCAAAGATGAATACACCAGCTTTCTGCCTGACATCCGCTGTGGAGATCAGTTCTGAATAGTTGTCGGGTATCTCCAAGACTAAAAGGAATATTCTTTCCGATTGGACTCCAAGTGATTCCATTCCTTTCCATTGTCAACACATGTGTTTCTTTCTCTCTGAAGTATTGAGTTACGTTTCAGAAAATACCTCCTAAACGTGATTTATCATCTTTCTTAAAATAGAATTTGAAGAAATGACGACTCTCAGATTAGTGGGAAGACAGCAAAAACAAACAGCAACGGAGTGATTTCAGTAGTGACAATCTCATTAAGCTGCCCGTTTCCAAATTTAGCCCATAGGCAGTTTTTTTAATTAAAAAATATTTTTAACCTAAATTCTTATTGGCTACGTGAAGTCTGGGTGGCTTCTGAATTCTTGGAAGCCATTCTCTTTTCTTCTGTAAATTTATGCTGTCCTTTAACCACTTCAAAATAAATTAAAAACTGGAAAGACAGAAATTCAGCCAAGCTACCATAACTAATGCAAAGCTGACTTGTGTTATGTAATCTCAAAATGGAAGTTTCCTTTTGAGGTCCATATTTGGTTGTTCAATTTTGTCATGGTGGAAGTACCATTATCCAGATCATGGGGACAAAAGGATAATTAGAAAACAGCAACACAGCTTCTGTTTTTGAGTCAATGTTACGAAAGAGAACGTGATGGATGTAATTAATCAGCCTTTTGAGGCCAAATGGCTGGTCACCTGGTTTTGAAATACACTCTAGCTTTGAAAATATAGATGTTGGCTGACTCAAAATGGCGGCAAGTTACCTTTGGCTACTTTAGAAGACCAAACGGAAACAGCTTGCTCTGAATGCAAAAAAGCCCGAACCCGGGGGAGAAGCCTGCTCCCAGCACCGCGAAGACACCATCACCTTAGTGGTGTAAGTGGCGTACTCACAATCAGATGACCCGGTGTGAGCGTGAGAGTTTGTCAGTGAATGTGTTGAGTGGATGAGGGCCGGGCCTGGGGACAAAACAGCTTCAAAGTTCAGGCAGGGAAGGCCCGGCTTGGCGCTGGATCCACCCGGCTGAGTAATCTCATTCTCCTCAGATGCCTTCTGGTTTTCAGCTGTCTTGGGTTTCTTCCTGAAAATAAACAAAGGGCCCTTTGAAGGAACTGACTGCATATTTGGGAAAAGGCATTTTTAGAATCTGTTAAAGATAACTTGATTTTTTTTTTTTTTTTCTGAGGGGGGATGGGAGGGAGTCCAGTATGTCCCTTGTTTTAAAACAAGCTGATTCTTGTTTTTTTCCCTCCAGTAATGGCCTAACTGGGAACACATGAAAGCATATGGGCCAAGCAAACAGCACCACATTTGGACTCTGTTGGCTGCATAAAAAGACCCTGTCCCAGAACTTCAGACAGCTTGAGCTACGTATGGCTGACATTATCCAAGAAAGCATCCTTTTTTCCCCCCTTAAGAGTTTTAACATGGTCTGGAAAAATACTAGTGGAGGTTTTACCGTTCTAGCATTTGTCAGGAAGCTTAGAGACAGGACCCGTGGAGTAATGGGAGGAGCACTGGACTGGGAGTCTGGAGACTTGAGCTATGGTACTAGCTGTGCCTCTAACTTGCTGTGTGGCCTTGGGCACCTCACTTCACCTCTCTGGGCTTCAGTTTCCTCATCTGTAAAATAAAGGGCTTGGATTAGAAGGCCTTAAAGGTTCCTTCCAGTTTTCAGTTTCTAGTCATGGAACACGTTATGTAACAGTCAACTTTCTTGCTGTTATTAGATTTTATTTTAGATCAACACATAATTTCAAATCACGATCTAAATTTGCAGGTTGTACAGATGAGAGGGGTAGTGATGAAAGGATTTGTTAAAGCAGCAAATGAAAAGTGAAAAGAAGAGCTTAGACTCCAGTAGGTAAAGAAGGAAGGTGTCACACAGAGATCCTCTATTCCAACTCTTTACCCACGTGAAGCTTAAGATTCCCTTTGTTTTTTGATTTAGTACATGATCCTGGAGTACGGGAGTGTGATTGTGTGTTTGGGACTGTGTGTTTGAAAAGAGATGGGTGAAGGGAATTAGAAAGTAATTGTCACTAATTGTTTGGGACCAGGAATAAGAGGTAAAACAGCTCAGCCATCAGTCAGCTCCTCTCCCTAGAACCATGCAACTGAGGTAAATGAATAAATACTTAGCTTATGCTGCATGCACCCTAGGCCCTAGTCAAACCCAACTGGATTACTTGTCATATCCTGAACATCCCCCCCCCCAATTTTCTTGGTTCTGTGCCTTTTTTATCATCATGTGTATGGTGAACAGAAAGAGTACTTTCTTTCATTTTTTCGGTAGGAGAATATGTGTGGTACAGAATTTGTTTTAAGTAGGTCTGTTCCCATGTTTCCCTTGTTTCTCTAAGCATGGCAATGGACTTGTTATACAGAATTTTTGTATTGAAATTTGCTGTACTGGGTAGTTAAATCTGCCCTTGCAGAATATGGTATTATGATTAGCACGCTGTGTTTCTGGTCCAACAGGTTGTGAAATCAAATCTGCTTTTCCAGAGGGCAGGAGGCAGAGATGGCATGGTAAAGATGAAAATAGAAGGAGAGCTTTCAGACATATTTTTCAGGATGGAGGAAGCCAGTACAAAGCAACAAATTGGATTCCTTTACCCACCCTTTGTTGAATGGGTGACTAAGGAACAAACCCCCAAATCTTGAGGGTCTACATGGACCTTCAAGGAGCTTGTTTCTGGTTTTCAGTGTAGGGAAGTATCCGAGATCAAAGTTTCCAAAACCCAACTCATTTTTTCCCCATGGAAACCAATGCTTCCTCTACGGTCCCTATTTCTATCACTGCTGTCTGTCACCAGGTTTGTCACCGGGTTGGAAACCTCAGGGTCAAACACCTTCCTCTGCCTTAAAGCCAGTTTGTCAAGTCCTGACAATTGTGCTTCCTTCATATTTTGCACATCTATATTTCCATTGCTATCACCATAACACTTTTTATTCAGACTGTTGTTTACTTTCTGACTCCCATCCTCCTTGACTTCTCTACTCCCACAGCTTTGACTCACTAAATCTGAGGTGACCACATTAGGCTGACAGTCAAGGTGAATTCCATGTCTATGAGACTGCAAACTCTCTGAGGGTGAAAAAATTGTCATAGCTATTTTTGAACTCCCTGTGTTCACCCATTCGTTCCTTCTTCCTTCCCTCCCACTATTCATTTATTCATGTATTCATTTCACAGATACTTATGTGTTTATGATGTGCCAGCATGGGCTAGGAAATAAAACAAGCCTGGTTTCTGCCCTCCCAGATTTGCTGTCTAGTGTATACCATTAAGTGGAGTTGCTTAGACAAAGCTGTCATTCAACATAGGTGTATTGATGGAATGAAACTGAGTTGAAATTAAAGTATATTTTGAAAATAGTTATAGTCTGAATCCCAATTAAGTTTCCTATTCTTTATGCAGCAGGGAAATCTACATCGACTGGCTGCTTTTCCTTTGAATCCATGAAGTGCATTTGATAAGAGTAGGACCACTTTGCCCGCTGAAGCTAGGCTGGTCCTCATGAATCATTTAAATATCGGGATGAAACACTGACAGACATCACTTGACGGAAAAAAAAAATATTTCTGATACTCATAAACAAGGCCTAGGCTAGTTTCAGATGTGTGCTTCAGGGAATTAAGGAAGCCCTCTTTCAAACATGAGTACGTGGTCAACCCACCAACATTACTCTTTTATTTTTAACTTTGCAAAAGTTGTATTGTTCTTTATATCAATGGCCTTGCTTCCTTCCCTAGATTTGATCCTGCTTTCTAACTGACATCTTGCACCATATTCTCCTGTTTGTTGTCTCAAGGGTCACCTCTGGAGAACATTCAGAGCACAGAGGCACTGAAACCACTTCTACAAACAGAAAATACTGAAAACTCAACCTTTGGGCTCAGCCCTTCATTTGCCTAATATCACTTTACTTGTCCTTAGACCACTGGGCCGTTTCCCAACTGCACAGATAACAGAGAGACACTAATTGTCCTTAGAAACAATTCATTTTCCATCTCACTCTCTAATAGTTCTCTTGTACTCCTTTTTCCAGACCTGAGAAACACCAAAACGTGGCAGCAATCTACATCTAGACATGCACAGGTGCAGTTATTTTGACCCTTTTATTTTATTTTCCAGTTATTTTGCAGTTATTTTTGCAGTTCATATTTTATTAAGGAGGAAAAAGCAAGTCCCGTAGTAATTAATTGAAAATACCTTCTTTGGCTGTGTAAAAGAATTATATAAGCACAGCACATCTGAGGGCGTCTCTCCAAGCCTCGGTGGCTGTGTACTATTCCCTGGAGCCTGTAGAGGGCAGCAGCACACCGGCGCTCTCCAGGCAGCATGTCAGACAAACTCCCCACCACACCAGAACCTTCCTTCTGGTCACCATGCCAAAGGTTGGTTTGCCAAGCTCTGGCCGGCCGCTTAGCCTCTTTCTTTCTTTTCTCCCTCTCTCTCCTCTCCCTCTCCCTCTCTCTCCCTCTCCCTCTCTCTCCCTCTCCCTCCCTCCCTCCCTCCCTCAATGTTAAAATTATACACTCTGATGAAGTCGCCCCTCAACCGGAAAATGAAAGCTCCAGTGAAAAATTAGGCGAGCCAACGACAACAAAGAAAGAAAATGGGAGAAAGGAGAAAGGGGGCTGGTGAGGGGGAAGGATTTAAGAACAAGAAAAGGGCAGATGTTTCGTAAATACATGCAAAGCAAAACTGGGTGTACGCGAACACTTCCGCAGAGAAACAGACCAATCACTGTGCACTTCCTCCCGCCGCACGGGTGGAGCTCTGCATTCAAAAAAAGTGTGGCCGCAGGCACCTGCGTTTCAACGGTCAGTTCTGACATTCTATCTCCCAATTGTCCAAAGAGAACAAAAACATTTTCATCTCCCCACTACAGACATTTCTGTTACAGAAGAAGGCTGCTTCAAGAACTGGGAAGGCGATTTAAGGTGACGGGAGGCTGAGTTAGCCAGCAGGACCTACTGGTTTTTAACTCTCATTGTGCTGGCCCTGGCAACAAGTTTTGGGCTGAAACATAGCAGTGAGTAAGGCTGTGGATGATGCTGGCTCTTTCCTTACTAAGACCGTATTTTATGTGTCAAGAAATATACATGAAAACATACTGAGGAGATGGTAGGCATTAAGCATGTTAAATGCACGGAAATTAACTAGGTCGGTGGCATTTGATGTATAGATTTCACACTTCTTTGCACATATTGCACACATACAGTGATGGCAATGCTTTCGGCAACATATGGAAAATAAATATTTTATCTGTGTGAGCTCTCATCAGTCTCCGGGGGCTGCTGAGGGAAGAGTGTTCTCTCCTGTCCCCCCTCCCAATTTCCTCTCTTCGCTGGGCTCCCACCCTCTCCTGCACATTAACATGCCTTCCACTTATCAGCCTGGTTGGATGGAAAAGGATTAGTCAGAACGTCTTTTTGATAAATACTCAGTCACTGGATCATGACAATTTTGACCCATGACCTTGCTCATCAACTCCTTCCCCCACCCCAATCGTTTTGGCGTGGTAACTATTTCTTTGCTCTCCTTCCCAATAATACATGCAAGAGGCTTAGTAGAGTGTTTGGGAAGAGGAGCAAAGGGGAGGTGGTAACAAACCACCCCAGTGGGGGTTGGTAGTAGAACTGAGCTCTACCATCAGTAGCTGTGCACCCTAGGCAGAATCCTCTGCTTCTCTGGGCCTCAGTTTCCTCATCTGTAAAATGGAAATAATAATACCCTCTAGGGCTGATGCGAGGATTAAATGAGACACTTCCTGTCAAGTGATTGGCATAGCGCTGGCACACGGTCAGTGCCCCATGAGGGTAGCTCTTTCACAGAGAGCATCAGTTTTGCGGTTTTCATCATTTCACCTAGAAGGAGGCACTTCCTTTATCTTTTTTAATATCTAGATTTGGGCAGGGGCAAATGGATTGTAATTGCAGCAAAGGCAGAAAGAATGCTAGGATAAGCAAACTCTTCAACACTTTGATTTTACCGTATCACCCCCCTGACACCTTCTTTCTGTTCACGTGTTTGTCACTGCTGCTACTACACTATTAGCTCCTCTTGAAGGTGAGGGTCAAGCAAGCTACAGTTGGCCTAGAGAAGCCCATCAAACCTGAGCACTATGGTCTATTCATTGAAACCAACCTTGGCACTCTATCTTATCACGTCTTCTTACAATTTATCCTTTCACCGCTTGGTCTAATGTTCTCAGATCCATTTAAGATGTTTTCATGATTAAAATATTTTATTCTCTCAATTTTTCAACCTTCTTGGCAAGGTTGATTTATAATGTTTTTCAGTATATTTCTCCCTCACTGTATCAGTCAGGATCTTAGTTCCCTAAGTCTAGTCAGAACTGGAGTAGGGAAGGGGCTGGACTCATAATACCCTGACCCCACTCTCCTCCCACTCTCATGTCTCTTGCTGATGCCTCCTATTGCCTAAATTCAAAGGGAAGCCAGAGGAGAAGGCAGCCTAGGTAACGTGGTCCAGAGAGGTCGGTCTCCTGGGCCATGCATCAGGGCAGAGAATGTTCTGGGGTTTTGTGTGTGTGTGTCAGGGGTGAGGGGGAGATGAATAAGCGTACCTATTTTCCCCCTCTCCATTTCCTTTACCCTTTTCTTCTCAATTATACTTTCTGGAAGGAAAGACACAGCAAATCAAATGAAATCAGTTCTCTCTTAGTGTCCATTTACCTGTTTTGTCTATTTGTAATTTATGGGGGAAGAAAACTGAACATAAGCTATGTGAGAGCAAGGATTTTTGGTTTGTTCTGTTCATTGCCACACCCCTAGTGCCTAGAACAGTGCCTGGCACATAGTAAATGCCTGGTAAATTTTAGTTGGCTGAGTAAATATACTCATGTCTGCTGTGCCAGACGCTACATATACATTATCTCATGTAGTCATTGCAACAATCCAGGTAAGTAGGTTGCCGAGCCCAGTCGTGCAGCTGGTGTGGGAGTGGGTAGGCTTTAAAATCTAACACTCACTCTCTCCTTACCCACCTCCAGGCCTTGAGACTTCACCCAGGTATTGTGAATCCATAGGGAGGGATACGTTTGTAATTAGTCCACATTTTTATACCATATTCACCTTACTGAATGAAGGTTTGCACCTATCAAGTCTCTGTAAGTTTTATTGTTTCTCTTTTACATATGAGGAAGCTGAGTTTCTGAAAAGCAAAGGCTGCAAGGATTAGAACTCAATTTGTCCATTCTCTAGGACCTGCAAAATGTGAATGCAGGCACTGGTATTCTGCATAGGGGAAATATGTCCAATGGCACAAACAGCCCGGCTCCCTTGTGGGCTTCCCAGAGATTTTTAGGAAATCTTAGCTCCTGATTTCTAGGTCTGGTTATGGGTTCTCTGCAGTACAGGAAGGTAGGAGTGGCAAAGACTCTCTTCCCTCCCAAAGGATAAACCAGGCTGAAACTTTGGAACCAGGCTGCATCCCGGTGTGCCTGTGATACCTGCACCGGCAATAGTTACTCTGTGATGAGGAAAAACTCAGAAAACTCTCCAGATGTGGGGATTTCTAATGCATTCTTTCGCTTGAACTTAAGGACGAATGAAGGTGCTTCCACAAGCAAGTTCCTTGCATGGGTATGGAATGAGGACACTCTATTTTTGATCTTTTGTCATGTCCTTAGTCCCCAGTCCCTCGAACGCATTGGTACTGTAGATCAGCCTAATGGTTCCCACCTCCAACCTGGCCAGGCAGGCCTGCCTATTGCCTTCATATCCATCACCACCAATTACAATTCAGGTGACTGACAGCATTAAAGGTAAAATGCAATGCAAAATAAAACAACACAAAACTCTGACTTCATCCCTTTGGGTTTGATTTATGCCAGAATAGTTAAAGATGTAGAAAATATGAATGTGAAAATCCTACCTGAAGCCTGAGAGGGATGTTAGTCTCCCAGGTTTGGCGTTTTCCAGTAACAGAGATGTCTGTAAAACACCATCCCGTTACCTGCTTCACACCATATAGGAAAATGTGTAAATATAACAACCAGAATGAGTTTTTGTTCTAAAATGTATAATTATTTTGCATGCATAGCCTCTAAGTAATTTAAATTTCTGGCTTTTCTAGTAAAAGAGAGCATGTATTCATCTGTTACTTCTAGCAATGATCAATGAATACTTGATGTCACTCTTTCATCAGTATTTTTCCGTAGGCATCATAGCTCCTACCTCAACTTATTTCTGCAACTTGACTTGCAAGGGTTGTACTTCTCCTACGTAAATGTCTGATGTGGAGGGAACTAAATCAAGTACTCAGAGCTATGCATCCAGAGGGCAGAGCTGACCTGGGCACAGTGGTTTGAGATGTGGCTGAAGAAGCCCGCAGCTGCAAGGGTGGGTGTTGGCCCCCTTGAATAACAAGGAGACCACAGCATGGGACACAGAGATGCAGCTACATCTCAGGTGGACACAGGCACGGAAAGCTGGCTCTCGGATGTGTCCAGCGTGGCGTGAAATGACAAGCTGCAGTGAGATTCAACAGAATGGCAAAGAAGGGTGATGAGAAGCAAGCAGATAGGGCTGGAGCGGCCACCGCTTCAGGCAGAGGCGCAGATGACCAAGCAGAACAGCACCAGTCCCTGCAAGGTGCGCTCAGATGAAGCTCAGCACAGCCACCCAGCGAGGCAGGCGCGATGCTACCCGGGGTGCGCACTGCAGGCTGGAAGCGGAGAACCAATGCAGGCTCTTCAGGACTGAGTCTGGTTACCTTGCCGCATCCAAGAGATGAAGCCATCTAAAATTTCATCTGCTCTTACAATTGTGTGAGTTTTTTAAAAAAATTAAACAAAGTGAACTAAGAAGCCTTTCATTGGAGGCATAATGTACTCACAGTAGTTTTCAAATAAATGGTGTCACTCTTCAGGTAAATCACTCCAAGGCTTGGGCCTAGTGCAGATGTTCATTGGGGCAGGGAGCAGAGAGCGGCTGCATCTGGATCAGACAAGGAACAAACAAAGATAAGGCTGTTAAGTGAAGAGGTGATGCTGATCGCTCATGCTATAGAGCCAGAACCGTGGGACCTGCTTGAGTGTCGGGTCCTGCACTTTGCACCGAGAACAGTGAGTCAGGGGAGGGAGATGGAGAGGGCGTTGTCCAGGCCCCGTTTTCAGTGTTTCCACCTGACTGCCTGTCTGGTGTGAAGCTGTTAACAGCACCCGCCAGTGCGGAGCTGACGTGATCCTGAGTTGGAGTTGAGGTGGAGGGTGAGGGTAGGGGAAGCCTGGCCACAGCGGACTCTTCTTCCAGTGTTCATTCCACCGCAATCTCTCTCTCATTGCTGCTCTGAGATTCTTGCCTATCTTAAAAACGCCCACTGACCTGGCCATGTTTCTGAGCTCTTGCCTTCTCTCCACCCTTCACTACAGCCTCTGTTTTCTGCCATATCCTCTAACCCCGAGGAGTTCAGCCTCAGGGGCTACAGAATGGACCCTTGTCTGTCTCAGAGCCTCAGGCCCAGAGGTCTTTTCCCAGGACTTTCCCCTTTGGCCACACTGCACCCTGATGACCACTTTATTCTGGAAATTCTCCTCCCTTCTCATTGGGACGCTGCATCATCCTGACTTCCCGCTCTCAGTTCTCTTCTGCCTTTTCCACTGGCCTGCCTTCTCTCTCCTGTTTCCTAAATGCAGACAGGCCTCAAGATTCTCTCTCTCCTCAAGCTTTGCCTACACAGCCACCCTCCATGGCCTCAACAGTCACTTCTCCATAGAGAACACCCACATGGCTATCTTTAGTTCTCGCTTGTCTACAGAGCTCCAGACCTGCATTCTAAATAACTGCTGGTTATTGGTTCATTGATTCATTTGCTTGTTTGTTCATTCATTCATTGTTTACATAGACTCTATTAGGCACCTAGAAAAGATGAATAAGATGGGGCCTCTAACTCTGAGAAGCTCACATCTCCATCATACACTGCACAGGCACTTCTAATTCAGAAAGTTTCCAGCAGAATTCATTGCCCTTCCCTCAAAATATGTTGCTTCTCCAGCCTTCCCATTTCCTGCTACTGGTACCATCTTTGTCCGGTTACTTGTGACTACAATTGAGGAGTCTTCTTTAGTTCCTCCTTTTCTTTCATTTCCCATATCCAATCAGCTGCCAACTCCTGTGGTTTTTACTCAGGCTGTGAATCAATACTCACTTTTTATCCCAACACCTATTTATCCTTTTATCACCTGTTGCCTAGACTTCTGTGAGTGCCTCCTAACCAGCTTCCCTTCCCTCAGATCCTCTTTACCTCTAGTCCATCCTTCACAACAACACTACATTTACTGTTCTAAAGTACCATTCTAAACACATCACTCCTTTGCTCTTTGCTTACTGGATTAAATGCAAACTTCTCAGCTTGGCATTCTAGGCTCCTGCAACATGGCCCCAATCTAATTTCTTACTCTTTTTTCTACAGTGCATTCTACACTGCAGAAGTCCCACTTGTTCCCACCATGGTCATGGTCTTTCCTACCCTTTCCCAATGTCTACATAGAGCTTCTTTAGGGGTCATCCAAACACCACCTCACTTATGAGACATTTTCCAAAGGAAAGTGCCCTTCTCAAATCCTTAAGCACTTTTTGCACCACTCCCTTCCCACGTTCTATGGACTCTAATAATTATATTTGTGTAATTTGTCTCCCCCCACCAAGCTTCTTGAAGGCAGAGGCCATTTTTACTTTGTACCCATAGTGTGCAATGCCTTGCACACAGGTTAGTGCTTAGCTGATGTCTGCTGATTCAGACCCCAAATAGCCAAAGCAATTTTGAGAAAGAAAAATGGAGCTGGAGGAATCAGGCTCCCTGACTTCAGACTATACTACAAAGCTATAGTCATCAAAACAGTATGGTAATGGTATAAAAATAGAAATATAGGTCAATAGAACAGGACAGAAAGCCCAGAAATAAACCCACATGCCTATGGTCAATTAATCTATGATAAAGGAGGCAAGAGTGTACAATAGGGGAAAGATAGTCTCTTCAATAAATGGTGCTGGGAGAACTGGACAGCTACATGTAAAAAAGTGAAATTAGAACATTCTTTAATAACATACACAAAAATAAGCTCAAAATGGATTAAAGACCTAAATGTGAGACCGGACACTATAAAACTCTTAGAGGAAAACACAGGCAGAACATTCTCTGACATAAATCACAGCAATATTTTTTTTGATCCATCTCCCAGAGTAACGGAAATAAAAACAAAAATAAACAAATGGGACCTAATTAAACTCAAAAGCTTTTGCACAGCAAAGGAAATCTCCCTGTAAAATGAGGGGTTGGGGTCGATGAGCTTTAAGGTCTTTCCATAAACAAAATGAAAACACAACCCACAGATTGGGAGAAAATATTTGCAAATGATGTGACTGACAAGGGATTAGTCCCCCAAATTTACAAACAGCTCATGAGGCTTAATATCATCAAAACAAACAACCCAATCAAAAAATGGGCAGAAGACCTAAACAGACATTTCTCCAAAGGAGACATACAGATAGACCAGAGGCACCTGAAAAGATGTTCAACATCACTAATTATTAGAGAAATGCAAATCAAAACTACAATGAGCTATCACCTTGCAGCAGTCAAAATGACTATCATCAAAAAATCCACAAACAATAAATTCTGGAGAGGGTGTGGAGCGAAGGGAACCCTCCTACACTGTTGGTGGGAATGTAAATTGGTACAGCCACTATAGAGAACAGTATGGAGGTTCCTTAAAAAACTAAAAATAGAGCTACCATATGATCTAGCAATCCCACTCCTGGGCATATATCCAGAGAAAAACATGGTCCAAAAGGATACAGTTCATTGCAGCACTGTTTACAATAGCCAAGACATGGAAGCAACCTAAATATCCATCAACAGATGAATGGATAAAGAAGATGTGGTACATATATACAATGGAATACTACTCAGCCATTAAAAGGAATGAAATAATGTCATTTGCAGTAACACGGATGGACCTAGAGATTGTCATACTGAGTGAAGTAAGTCAGACAGAGAAAGAGAAATGTATGATATCACTTGTGTGTGGAATCTAAAAAGAAATGATACAAATAAACTTATTTACAAAATAGACTTAGAGAACTAACTTACGGTTACCAGGGGAGAAGGGTGGGGAGGGAGGGATAGTTAGGGAGTTTGGGATTGACATGTACACACTGCTATATTTAAAACAGATAACCAACAAGGACCTGCTATACAGCACAGGGAACTCTGCTCAACGTTATGTAACAACTTAAGTGGGAAAATAATTTGAAAAAGGATACATGTATACATATAACTGAATCACTTTCCTGTACACCCGAAACTTTCACAACATTGTTAATAAACTATACTCCAATATAAAGTAAAAAGTTAAAAAGGTTCTAAAATAAAAAGCTTATTAAAGAAAATAAAAGCAATAAAGATGCTTGCTTAGAGTCATGGAAGCTGAGATTGAACTGGAAAGACCTTAAAACTCATCTACTCCAACCCCTCTTTTTTCAGATGAGGACATCAAGGGAACTGACTTGCTCAAGGCCACATCCTTACTAGCAGCTGAGCAATGACAATTGATAGAAAAGGTCACTAATCTCTGAATATCTACCAGTGTTGCTTGGCACCAATAGACCCAGCAGACCATCAGCAATGACCAGACCAAAGAGAGTGAGGGGTTGGGTGCATAGCCTGCAAGGATACACTGGGTTCCACAAAAAGAAAAACTTTGTTTCACTTATTCACTTCAATAAATCAAACTAATAAATGTCCTTTTATAGTTAACTGATGTTTAAAAAATGAGGGTGGATTTAAAGAACAAGGAAGCAAACTTTTTAGCATTATCAGCAGAAACAATTGTGACAATACTGCAAATACCACTGGGGTGATTCAACTCAGGGTGAAAAAGCAGAATGAAGAAATTTCTCTTGCTTTGGAAAAGCAGTGGGTTCAGCTGAAGTTCTTGGTGAGAACATGCTGTGGTAATTCTATGGTTAAATTCATCTTATAGAAACATAGGGTATTGGCAATCTTGCTATTATGCCACACCAATAAATCATTTTCCACCTCTCTTTGTCCAGTATTTATCCTATAGGCTTGTTTAAATTTTTCCTTATTTTCTTTTCATTATATCACCAATCTACTCGTAGAAAAGGATAGATGACTGCTCCCAGGTCTGTTCTAATTTTCGTCCCTTGTTCTTCTCTTGTGGTAGACGAAACATTAATTGTTTAATCTCCTCTCTAGCCTCATTCTCAAACAGAATCATTTTCTTTCTCCTGAAGATGTAAAGCCCAACAAAACACGTTGTGGGGATAACAGTGTTTACCTAGGTGAGGAAAACAGACTTTTCCAGGGGATCTCAGTAGATTTTACTTGTCCAGAAAAGCTCAGCTCGTAAATGCTAGCCTCCGGCCCTACAAGACTTCACCTGTCTCCCCCAGGTGAGCACCTTACTCACTGTTACTCACCAGAGGAGAAACGTGGTACTGGTCATTATATTCTCTTTGGCCACTATGGTGGAGCCATGCTATGCATTGAGAGATCCATTAAATAGTAACACCCACGTAGACAGCAAATTGGGCTCAAGAGTTCCTCATAGTTCTTTTTTTTTTTATGAGCAGATATTAATTTTTAATTATTATTTATTTATTTATTTTTGGCTGTGTTGGGTCTTCGTTTCTGTGTGAGAGATTTCTCCAGTTACAGCAAGCGGAGGCCACTCTTCATCGCGTGCACGGGCCTCTCACTGTTGTGGCCTCTCCCGTTGCGGAGCATGGGCTCCAGACGCGCAGGCTCAGTAGTTGTGGCTCATGGGCCTAGTTGCTCCGCGGCATGTGGGATCTTCCCAGACCAGGGCTTGAACCCGTGTCCCCTGCATCGGCAGGAGGACTCTCAACCGCTGCACCACCAGGGAAGCCCAAGAGTTCCTCATAGTTCTTACTAAACCATCACATGGCTGGAC